TGTTGGAAGAGGATGCGCGATGAGGAAATCGATGAGATTGAGTCGATTAGGGTTTAGATTTGATAAGGAAGAAGATGGTGAGGGTCGATTAGGTCAAAGAGGAAGACAATGTGTGCGATTAAGGGATTGAAGGATTGTGGGTGACCCAACAGTCATCATCAGGAAGAGGAAGAGAAGGAACAGTCTAAACAATGAGAGGGATTGACGTTTTTCATTTTCAAAAATTGTTTTTAAATTAAAATTTTCTTTTAAATGACACGTAGGATATCCATGTGTAATATGTTATCCTACATGGTTTCCATGTCATTTTAAATTTGACAAGTCAACAAAGAAAAACCTGTTCAAAAGGTAACAGGTTACCCAATGCTATAATGGGTAAAGTTTTGAAAGTACAATGCTCTAATAAAAAATATTTTGAAAGTACATTACTGTAATAAGAAAAACTGAAAGTAGAATGCTATAATAAGAAAATTTGTAAAAGTAGGTTGCTATTTTGCGCATTTTGCCTTAATTATTATCATGTGATATATTCACTCAATTGTATATATTTATATAAAACAATATTGTTGCAGAAAAAAGAAAGGAATACAACAGACGATATTATGAACGACAAAATGAAAAGAACAAAATGAGAAAAATAGCTAATAATGAAGAAAGTAGTCAATCTATGACCCTATTGGAGACGTAGCACGTCAATGAAACAACCCCTGTCAGTGCAGTCACTATTGCTGAGAAGAGAAAAATTGCTAACAGAAATTACTATCATCAAAATAAAGAAAATAACATATATAGAACAAGTGTTAACACAGAAGGAACAGGTGTTACCAATATGTTCGGATTTGACACATGAAAACTTCAAGGGTAAAATCGTGCATTTCCTTTTTTTTAATTCTTTTATCAATTTTAGTAATTAAAATCTCATTTAAATTACATTCTCTTTCTTACATAGGCATTCGAAGTAACCGTGGTATACTTCTATCTCTTTTTGATGAAGTTACCAATGAAGCATTCAAAGGTTAGTTAGAGTGACTTTTAAACTTCACATCCTCTAGAGAAAAAAAAATCATTAATTACTATTGTAAACACTGAAATGTCTTATCATGTAGGAGGTTATATTAGGGCTGATGTCAATACTTCGAGCCAACATGACATCCTCCCGGGGGATCCGTATGATTTTGTTTACAATAGTATTCCTAGAAAACATCGTGTCTTGAAAGAACAAAATCCATGTGAATTTTGTGGAGTAAAACGGTTTAAATTTGAATTCCCTTCCTTTTGTTGCATGAAAGGGAAAATGAAATTAGCATACTCACCCATTCCTGAGGAGTTATAAGTCTTTTCTCATCGCAATCTAAATTAGGCGAAATGTTTAGGCACAACTTACGGGCATATAATACGAACTTTTCGTTCACGTCAATGGGTGTAAACTTGGATAGTTCAATGGCGAACATGACATACGGAGTATATACATTTCGTGCGCATGGGGCTGTATATCATAAAATTGATCAGTTCGTGTCGAGGGATGGACAACCCAGGTACTTACAGTTGTACTTTTATGATTCAGAAACAGAGTTATCGCATAGACTCCAGTGGCCAAATCTTGATAGAAAAGTCGTTGAAATTTTGACTCGTGTTCTTTCTATGAACCCATATGTGAGAACATTTTGAAGCCTTGGTGAGCTCGGACCACTCGATAGCTACAGATTCACTTTGAATACTTCAGTGGTACTTGACCAAAGGGTGTACAACCGACCGACCACATCAGAGGTTTGAATACAAGTATTTGATTTATCCTTTTTGAAATATAATTAGATACATACACTAAATTAATTGAGTTCTATAATTATGTTAGGTTGCTGGTATTTGGGTTGAAAGCAATGACAACATAACTGCATACAAGAGAAGTATTGTTGTGTATGGGAGGTCTAATTATAGCCAAAATATTCAATATTACTTCAGCTGTTATGACCCGTTGTCCTATCCTTTGTTCTTTCCCAACGGTGAACCTGGATGGCATTCTAATATACCTAGACATGGAGTGTGCATGAATCAAAGTGTTAATGATGATGAAAACATGGAGGAAGATTTAGAAGATACATACCATGTTGCAATATTTATGTTTTAATTAAGGTAACAAATATATGCTTAAACATACATGTCATCATTTTATATTTATTTCATAAAATACACACTACGTAGAGGTTGATGTGAGAGGCAACAAGAATACTGTGATGATGAGGGAATACTATTGTTATAAGTTCCAGATTCGTTCGAACGACAATGTGCTTCTATTGGGGGGAAGGTTGTTACAACAATTCATGGTAGATATCTACATCAAGATTGAGACTTCCCGTTTAGATTTTTGTCAGAAAAACCAAGCCAAAATAAGAGCAGATTTATACCAAGGTGTTGTGGATTGCGTCAATGCCGGTGAGGTGATGCCAAGTAGAATCGGACAACGGGTTGTGTTGCCTGGAAGTTTCATCGGAGGACCACGTGACATGCGGCGATGATTTCTTGATGCCACGACTTTAGTGCAAGATGATGGGAAGCCCGATATATTCCTTACAATGACGTTAAATCCGAAGTGGCCTGAAATCCTTAGAGAGCTGTTGCCGGGTCAGACCACACCTGATCGGCCAGACCTTGTTGCAAGAGTTTTTTTGTGCGAAACTAGAGGATATGAAAGACCAACTCTTCAAAAAGCACATCCTCGGTAAAGTCGGGGCATATGTTTATGTCATCGAGTTTCAAAAGCGTGGTTTGCTGCATGCCCATTTTCTTCTGATAATGACACCCGAACACAAAATGACCAATCCAGATCATTATGACAAGAGTGTATGTGCTGAAATTCCGGACCCAACCAGGTATCCCCAAATGCGCGAACTGGTCGTGCAACACATGATGCATGGTCCTTGCGGTCATTTACGACCGTCCAGTCCTTGTATGCAAGGTGAGCCAAAAAAATGTCATTTCAGATATCCCAAACAGTTCAATGACAAGACGATGTAGGCTGAGGACTCATATCCATTATATCAACGAAGAAATAGTGGAATTAATGTGAATGTACATGGCAACATCTTGGATAATAGATGGATGGTCCCGTATAACCCGAAGCTGTTAATGATGTTTAATTGTCATATCAATGTTGAGGCTTGCTCGAGTATAACATCTGTGAAGTATGTCTTCAAGTATGTTTACAAGGGTCACGACAAACATGTTGTTCATATCGATTCAGAGGAAGAAAGGGTCGTTATTAACGAAATTAGAAGGTTCCAAGATGCACGTTATGTCTCCCCTCCCGAAGTGATATGGCGGATTTTTAGTTTCACACTTTCCCAAATTCACCCTTACGTGATGGCGTTACAACTCCATCTCCCTAACAAACAGATGGTTAGGTTTAGAGATGGTGATATAATGACAGATATTGTCGATGGAGAGAGAGATAAGCGAACGATGCTGACTGCATTTTTTGATAGGAATAGAACAGACATTAGTGCAAGACAATATTTGTACAAAGAATTTCCAAAACACTACACATGGAATTGGAGCACACGTCGATGGAATCCCCGACAAAGAGGATCAATGAAAGGCCGACTTGTGTCTGCAAATCCAGCTGAGGGAGAGCGGTTCTACCTACGCCTACTTTTGTCTCATATTACTGGGCCTACTTGCTTTGAAGATCTATATAGTTTTAACGGCTTACTGCACCCTACATTTTGCGAAGCATCTCTTGAGAGAGGGCTAATAAAGAACGATGATAACTTATCCCAATGTCTTGGAGAGACCTCCTTATTTCAATTTCCGGCTGCTCTTAGGAGGTTATTTGCCACGATGTTGATTTATTGTGATCCAGGAGATGTTCGCAAGTTATGTGATGACCACTATGATTCACTCTCTGAAGATTATACGCGACAATGTGAAAGTGCTAATCGAGTTCGTAATTTGGTTCTAACTGATATCCTCGTTTTTCTACAGTCTATGGGTAAGAGTCTTGTTGATTTTTTCTTTCTTCCAATGGTTGATGCAAATTAAAATTTTCAATCTGGAGAATTTCGTGAGGTACAAGAGGAATTCTCTATAGTTGTGGAAGATGAACACTTGCGTGCCCGAGACTCTTTGAATTCTGACCTGAAATACGCATATGATGAGATCATGAGGCACGTAGACGAGGATTGTCCAAGAGTGTTCTTTATAGATGGTCCTGGTGGAACCAGGAAGACTTTTTTGTACAAAGCTTTGCTTGCCAACATCCGTTCACGTGGTCTTATTGCTCTCGCAACCGCTTCGTCGGGTGTCGCTGCCAATAACATGCCTTGAGGGAGAACAACTCACTCTAGATTCAAAATTCCTCTCAACCTTGATAATAACTCAATGTGCAACATAAGAAAACAAAGTGGGGCTGCTAAATTGATTCGAGATGCAAAAATAATCACATGGGACGAAGCGTCGATGGCAAAGAGCCAAGCAGTGAAGGCGCTCGATTGAACAATGTGAGACATCATAAGGGTGGCACTCCCATTCGGCGGAAAGATAATGGTTTTGGGGGGTGATTTTAGAAAAGTATTACCGATCGTGAGGCGTGGAACCCAAGCACAGATTGTAGGTTCTAGCTTACGGATGTCACCTCTTTGGGCAACGATTAAAAAGATACGGTTAACGCTCAATATGAGAGCACGCACTGATCCGTGGTTTTCAGAATTTTTATTAAGAKTCRGTKATGGARATGAAGAARCGGTGGAYGAAAGCTTTATTCRCATACCGGATGACATGACCATTCCCTATGCTGATAAAGGTAAGTCAAAAGATGCGTTGATTGACGCAATCTTTCCATCTCTGCAAATCAACGGAGCTGATTCCGATAATATCATTTAGAGGGCGATATTGTCAACTAAAAACGAGAATGTCGACGAGATTAATGATCAGTTGATCGACAAGTTTTCTGGTGATGAAAAATATACTACAGCTTCGACGAAGCAAAAGATGATAAGAACAACATCTATCCAATGGAGTTCTTAAATTCTTTAACTGTTAGTGGTTTGCCTCCTCATTACCTTCGTCTTAAGATTGGATGCCCAATAATACTGTTACGAAATATAGATCCCTCGAATGGATTGTGTAATGGCAGTAGATTGATATGCAGAGGCTTTCAACAGAACGTCATCGATGCAGAAATAGTTGTTGGTCAGCATGCTGTAAAGAGAGTATTTCTGTCGAGAATTCCCTTATGTCCGTCCGAAGACAACATGTTCCCATTTAAGTTGAAAAGAAAACAGTTTCCAATTCGGCTTAGTTTTTCTATGACAATCAATAAAGCTCAAGGCCAAACAATTCCGAATGTAGGTGTTTATCTACCGGAATCAGTTTTCTCACATGGGCAACTTTACGTGGCGTTGTCCAGACGGATATCACGGGGGAATACGAAGGTGTTAGTGAAGTCTGTTAAAAAATTCAATCGTGTCAGAGTCTACACCTCAAACGTCGTCTATCAAGAAGTTTTACGTAATGAATAAGGTATAATCAACAATTATATTATTATACATTTTGTACCATATGTTTATATTAAAACCATTGCGCCGTTTTTGCAGGAAATATTTACGGATGAGTGCATCACGAAAAGCAAACAACAGTTTGAATACATGGATGAACATTATTTTACGAACGATTGTATTTCTTTGTTCATTCAAGAATTTCAAGTTTTGTAATGAGCTCTGAGTAGATAGTTTCAGAAACCTGACATATGTGCAATTTTCTTTTCATTCGATCTTGCTAACAAACAAAATTGGCCTTCAACTTTATATATTAGTTGACTTGTAAAATAACCACACAAACTCATGATTCAAAGCCAAACTAATGTTTTCGAATTGTGATTTACCCGCGCTGCATCGTGCGGGTACACTACTAGTATGTATATATATATATATATTATATATATATATATATATATATATTGATTTTGGTTTATTGAATCTTTCGTTTGAACCTTTTGCTATTTGATTAAAATGTGTCTCGTATGAATTTGGTTATGAAACTTGTGAACTATATTGAAATTGATTTTTATGAACGACATTCGGGTAAGTGGCATATGTTTTAGTTTTCATTGTTTTTTGAACAACCAAATTAATGGGCACATTATTTGGGATGCCTTCTATGGAGATTTTATAGTTGGCGTCCTGCAGGTGAACTCGGTCTACCGGGTTAGGTCCACCGGGTTAGGTTCAATAGTGGCTTACATGAACCCATCTTGTGAACTAGGCCGATTTTATTGGCTCTAGGGAGGATGGATCGATCCTAGGATTATCCACCATGTTACCGTGGTTAAATTTAGGTGAGGACTTGTGGTGTGTGCCGCACGCCGGCTCGATAGTTCCTGCGGTTTGGCCACCCCACGAACATTACAGGAATTAATAGATTTTGTTTAAATGATATTTTGAAATGAGATTTGTGAAACGTCTTGATTTTCTATGAATTCAGTTTAACCAAATTGTAAGTCTTTCGTTTTATTATCGATGTTACTTATTATTATTTCAAGTTTATATTATAATCTGCTCACTGAGCCCTTTGCTCAATCATGTTCGTGTTTTCTGACACGACATGTTCCAAGTGATACTAATAGGGATGGGACTTGAGATCGAGTGTTTGACTTTTGGAGTTTGTAAACTCGTTTATAGATGTATAATACTCTAAACTTATAAATAGTTTCTATAATGTTTAGGTTGTAAAACATGCTTTAAAAGTTAATTTATGTTTGGAGTTTATTAGTAGCTCTGTAATATTTGTCTTTGATTTAAGTCCCGTTAATGACACCGCCCGTTCAGGATCATATGGACGGGGGATGTTACATGAATAAGAACAATTTATAAAATGAAAAAAGAAATCAAGTGATGGAGAAAGCGAAAAAAAGTTTACTTGAAAAAAGAATTTGTTCAATAATAATGGTTTGTAAAATGAAGAATACATCAAATAATAGAGAAGAAGAAAAATAGATTTATTGTTGGACAAATAATGGAGAAGCACATGGAAGGATTTGGAGGTTTCAGTTCCAAGAATAAAGATGAAAAGGTTGGAGGTTAAACTTTTTAAAATTACCAAACAATCTTATCCTAATGAATTTTATGTTTTAAATATAGGGATGAAAAGGTCTTTTCCAATAACTGTTTCGAATTCTGATTTTCATGTCGTTTTATTTTAGAATGTCTAGACGTGGTCGCCCATGCAAATTCAGATCTCAACTTTAGGGTAACCCATATCCCAACCCCAATCCAATGGAGGGTGAAAGTGAGGCAAATATTGCTAATGTCTTGGTTGTTCCAGATCTGTATCGGGTCCGTTTGGCTACTTATATGTTCGAGAAAGAAACCAATAACTGGTAGGAAGCTTGCATTCAAACTGATCCGTCTATTAAAGACTTGTCTTGGGATAATTTCAAAGAGTTTTTCTTCAAACAATACTTCACCTTGGATGATCGTGATGCCTATGTGTGAGAATATGCTACTATCCAGCATGGCGAGGAAGAAACAGTTGCCGACTACATGGCATATTTTCTTAAATTTTCTCGTTTTGCAAAAAACACGGCAGGCACTCAAGTCCAACAAGATGACAAATTTAAATGGACTCTTAACTTTAGGTATAAGAATCATCTCTTGAATTATCCTTTCAATATTGTTACTGAGGTGGCCGACGCAGTGAAGAATATTGATCGGTCACAACAACAATGGTTAACTTCATGCTTTTGACAATAACAGACGTGTACCTGAATCTTTTCGAAGCATTGACACAAATAAAAGCTCAAGTCACTTCATTGACACAAATAAAAGCTCAAGTAACTTCATGCCACGACTTCCGGTGTTGTCTATTAGTGAGAGTCAAAATGTTTCTAGCCATGAATATATGATCGATGCAATCTTCGACATCGATCGGGTCCATGCCTAAAGATGACCGATTCCTGTTTCAATTGTCGAGAAGAAGGTCACATGGCCAAAGATTGTCCTAAAACTCATATCCGAACTGACAAAGGAAAAGGAAAACAACCAAGTACTAGTGGACGAGTGTTTGCATTACCTAGCAATAAATCTTAAGCGGGTATGATTTCGGGTCATATTAAATTAATTGATTTATCTGTTTATGCTTTGTTTGATAGCGGTGTTACACACTTAGTTGTTTCTGAACAATTAGAATTCCGGTTAAAATCGTATGAGCAAACCACCAAATTTCCAATGGAAGTATCTACCCCAATGGGTGGTTCAATCTATGTGCTAACTCATTTTTCCAACTGTCGTTGCTTATTGGGGATTGCATACGAGATATCAGTCTACAACCAATGCATATGTCTCACTTCAATTTAATATTAGGTATGGACTGGTTGTCACGTCACCGGGGAAACTATAGACTGTAATGTCAAACAAATATTGTTTGGACATATTGACAACCCAGAGGCAATCTTCCAAAGAGGTATTCCAAGAGAAGTTGTTTGTGCGGTAGTCTCTATTACTGTGAAATAGTATACGTGGCAAAGCAATGAAAGTTTTCTTCCTACTATACAAGATCCCGAACAGGTATTTCCTACTTCTACAGCCATACCCGTTGTTTCTGAATATCTTGATGTGTTTCCCAACGATCTACCGGGTATACCACCAGTACATAAGTCAAATTTACCATCTAGTCCCGGGAGCTTCTCTTATTTCCAAGGCTCCCTACCGAATGGCTCTAACTGAAATGAAAGAGCTTAAAACTTAACTCGATGATCTATTAAAGAAAGGTTCTGGGGAGCTCCAGTTCTCTTCGTTAAAAAGAAAGATGGTACGATGCGTCTTTGTGTTGATTATTGGGAACTTAATAAAGTAACGATCCATAACAATTATCCATTGCCGAGAATCAATGATTTATTTGATCAATTACAAGGGGCATGATACTTTTCCAAAATTGATCTTCGATCCGGATGCCATCAACTTCGTATTCGAGATTGTGATATTCCAAAAACCGCATTTAGAACTCGCTATGGGCACTATGAATTCTTAGTAATGGCTTTCGGGCTAACAAACTCTCCAGCGGTCTTTATGGATCTTATGAATCGACTTTTCAAAGATTATCTCGACGAATTTGTTATCGTGTTTATTGATGACATCTTGATTTACTCGAAGTCAAGAAAGCAACATCATCAACATCTTCAAATCGTTTTGGAGACTCTTCGAATGAAAGAGTTATATGCAAAATTTTCCAAATGTGAATTATGGCTCGATCAAGTTTCTTTTCTCAGTCGCATAATCTCCGCTAAAGGGGTCAAAGTCGATCCGGATCACTAATTGGTCATGACCTACGAA